GCACATCAAAAAATCATTTTTTGTGATCTTCTTCAGCTCCTTCTTCGATTACGTCGTTATCTCCTCAATCGTAGCGTAGCGTCATCCTTTTATGGGCCTCTTCAGTTTCGGGAACAAGAAAAAGTCACAAGGAGCCAGATCTGGGGAATACGGTGGCTGCGGCATTATTAGTGTGTTGTTTTTAGCCAAAAATTCGCGCACAAGCAACGATGCGTGAACAGGGGCGTTATCATGGTGCAAAAGTCAATTTTTGTTCTTCTACAAATTCGGGCGTTTCTGGCGGATTGCTTCACGAAAATTACGCATAACATACAGGTAATATTCCTTATTGACCGTTCTACCCTGTGGCAAAAACTCATGATGCATCACGCCCCTGCAATCGAAGAAAAGTGTAAGCAAAACCTTCACATTCGACCTAACTTGGCGCGCTTTTTCGGTCTTGGCTCGTGCAGCAGCTACCATTGGGATGATTGTGCTTGTGTTTCCACGTCATAACCATAAACCCATGATTCGTCACCAGTTATGATCCTCTAGAGCAAATTTGGGTCGTCGCGGACAGAGTCCAACAGCTCCTTAGCAGTGTTAATGCGAAGCTGTTTTTGATTGAAATTGAGCAATACACTCAAAAAGAGATATTTAAACCGACTTACTCTTTCCACAATGTTTATTTCCAACTGAATACGTCATAATTACTGATTTCCCAATTAAAAATTCCAATTAAAATCCTGGGTATCTAAAATAGAAGTCGACATTTTAATTGACCGTTTTAATATTATGAGAGCAGATTGCAGAACTGTTATGATTGTAAGGCAAAAACCCTTTTTTATTTAGTGTTGGAACGCAGTTTTACAAGACTTTATTCTTGAAAGGGTAAAATTGATAGTATTTGCGGCATTTCGCAGTCTTTCTAGAATGCTGTCAACGTTTTATAATACAACAATTGTTTTCGTTAATTTCTCTGAATATTTATGCAGCTAATTAAATCCGAAAGGCTGCGTGAATATGGAAAACAACATTGTTTTTAACAACAGTAATTGGGGTTAAATACGATAGAAAGTGTCGGAGAGGTAGCGTTGACGGTGCTTCGCGCAATCAATTGTTTTGTAAAACAATAGAGTAACTGTTAAAAAGCGACATGCCATTGTTGTAGGTGTACATATAATCCAACTTTACCGCACTGCAAACTATTCTTAAAAGTCATTTTCAACTGAAACTTGGTAATAAGTAAAATTTATGACGAAAATTCCACAAAGATTTTTTACACCTAATTGAATGCCTAGTGGTACAGTCACTTTATTCGAAGGGGAAACCGCTGTCGAAAAAGTGTACACCATAAATCCCTTTTACGAAAATAATGCCCAAAATCTATAAATAATTTCTATTCCTTCAGATAAATCCCCATATACGTTTATAAATCCTATGAATTCTACCGTACTTCTCATAAATCCCTGTAATTCCATAATAATTCTTATAATCCTGTGAAATTCCAAATAACTATGCTAATTTCGGTAAGTGCTACAGTCGGTAAATGAATGAAAATTATAGAAGAATGATTACGGATGCTTGGTTTAAGATATATACATATATAATTAAAATTGTGTTAGAGACGGAAATTGAAACGAAGAATATTTTAAACGAAACAAAGTTTGGTTTTCGAAAAAAGAGAGAAACTATTGATGCGATATTCTGGTTAAAAATGTAATACAAACGCGGATGGAATTGAAATTAATTTAGAAATGGAGATAAGGAAGGTAAGAGAGGGAAGAATAGTGGTAGGAAGATAATAAATGATTTGGACAATAACTTATGTGGACTATATTGCTTCGATGTCGACAAATTATGGAGCGGTAAGCGATGAGAGTATAAGATAAAGATTTGAGAAGGATTAGCATTGAATCTCAATAAGACGAAGATTGTGGAAATAGGTGAGATTAGAGATAGAGGAGGCAGAGAAAATACAGATACAGTATGGAAAAGAAAAGTAATAGAAAAGGTTAAAAAACACAATTAGTTGAGATATATACTAGGAGAAAATAATAACGATAATGTATGTATCATTAGACAGGATATGGAAAACTGATTAAAAGTCAACGAAATAAATAAGCCGATAAAATAGCCATGTTTCTACACGTAATGCTCATGCGTAGAAGTGTATGTGTGGTAAATAATTTTCCACCAGTTAAAATTCGTTCTTTTTTGTCAATGACACTATTTTTTTAATAGGTACTGTACTTACAGTTATTACCATGAAATAATGAGAGCTAAAGTATCTCACAGTACCTACAAAGTAATATTTTGTTAGAATAAAATATGCCACGTCATTTACTGTGAGATTATATAAGTAGTATAAACGTTCCAATTGCAGTAATAATAATTAATAAGCAATGTCGCCGTTAGGGCCTCTTGGTTTCATAAACTTTGACCTCCAGATAACGGGCAGGGTTATTATTAAATACCGTAATGCGCCTTAATTATTACTGCCCGCAGGAATAAGGTGGACACATGGTGTAACAAGTAACGATAAAATTAAATTATCCATTCTAAGCAAACGACCTGTTTCGCAATGTACGACCTTTGATTAAAAACATCCGGAATTTTTTTAATTTTCTTATAAAATCATTATTTTTTCACCAGTATTAATTTGTTTCATCGTAACTAGATACTCCCAATAATAAATAACATCCCAGACTCCTCATTTTTTGCGAACAGTAACATAATCACTTCTATGCTCGCGAACGGTTAATTTAGAAATTCGAAAAAGGTTGGAGCACGGCGTTGTACGGGTGCGAAACATGGGCAGTGGGAGCGGCGGAAAAGAAAAGGTTAGAAGCGTTCGAAATGTGGTGTTATAGGCGGATGATGAGGATATCGTGGGTAGAAAAGGTTAGAAATGAAGAGGTATTGGAAAGAATAGGAGAACAGAGGACTCTATGGAAGTCAATAAAAAATAGGCGAGATAGGTTGGTAGGACACCTTCTGAGGCATGAAGGTCTAGTCAGAGACATATTAGAGGCAGAAACAGGAGTTAGGAGGGGTAGAGGTAGACCTAGATTAGATTACTGTTCGCAAATAGTTAAGGATGTGGGTTCAGGTAGCTCAGGATAGAAAAGAGTGGAGGTACGTGTCCAACCAGTCTTAGGACTGATGACCTTATGATGATGATGATGAACATAATCTTCCTCTTCCTCTCTTTACTCCTCTTTCTGCTTCTCATGTGTCTCTGACTAGCCTTTTCCGTCTTAGTAGGTGTCCTATTCCATCTTCCTTTACCAAGCGACATGGCCTAAAGGTTTAGACCATTCCTTAACATTCGGGAGGACGCCGGTTCGATGCCGGGTCCGTCTGCCTTGGTCCAAGTTTTTCTGTGGTTTCTTTGGATCCCTTAGGGGCAGTAATATTCCACAGATAATCTTTCCCTCTCTTCTGTTTCCATTTCGCCCGTCTCATCTTTCTCACCCGAACCACCACCCACCCATTTTCACGATTCCTGAAAGGATACTGAAAAGGGTCTTCCGAAGTTAGCAGAAGTTGTTTACTCTCAAGATGACGTAGAAACAGCTCCGCCCATCTTGCGTCAAATACAACCTTTTTAGCATTATTGTATAATGGGTATACGTATAAATACAGCATCGGCCTATAACACCAAATCACAAACGCTTGAAACGTTTTCTTTTCCAAATTAGCCTTTCGTTTGAATGGAAAGAGAGGCGTGAAACGCAGACCCCACAGGCTAGAATTTTTTTATTATACAGCTGTTTCAGCTGTAAGAAGTAAAGACCATATTATGTAGGTAATTATGAGAAAATAAGAGAAACAACAACTTTAGAAATAATTGAACTTGGCGTATTGAGAAAGAATACTAATAATGTTTTGTTTTACTCAGGTAACCACCCTCTTTCAATCCCACCAACCCCCACCCCCATCGGGACATTTACCTAATCGCCATCAGATATACACTTGTACCAACGTTTTTTCTTAATCCTCAAAGCACGTCAAAAAATCATTTTTTGTGATTTTGTTTCAGCTGTAAGAAGTAAAGACCATATTATGTAGGTAATTATGAGAAAATAAGAGAAACAACAACTTCAGAAATAGCCGAACGTGGCGTATTGAGAAAGAATACTAATAATGTTTTGTTTCGGTGATGGGACTCAATTACCTTCTTCAATTATATTCTTTGTTTCTCTTGTTGAATTGCTTTCGTAGATAGATACATAAAAACCTTTTCCAGTCGATCTGTATGTGCTTACAATCCGTTCTGTGCATTTCTTAGACAGATTGATCGAACGGAAGTTGTGTCTTTTCCTATTTCCGTATGGTATGTTCCGTGCTTCTCTTTGCTATCACGTATCGCACGTAAGGCGTTCTCTTTTAGTAGGATATTAGTAGGCCTTGTAAGGACAATCGTCGTTAAATAAAATTATCGTTTTGATATCAAGGGCGTAACGGTATAAATGTGACGAATTGTAAATAATAATAAAATGGGTAAACATCGTTTCGTCCATATATTACCTCTTCATGAATTTTAATATCAAAATCGTCCATCAAAACACGTTAATATCCTAATCTAGGTCTGTGTAGATATTTATACTAACTATTATGTTCGCATTGTTAATTAAAAATGGAAAGACAATACCTGTACCTATATTGACTTGTAAGAAAAGATGTCTTCATGAGTAAGACATTAGTGTTGCAAAAGACCTCTGGTTCCGCTTCCGCGATTACAGAAGTTCCGCATACGTTTTCACGTCCGCTTCTGCATTTGGTTCCATGTTTTTATGACAGAAGCTTATCGGAACTTGACAAAATCCTTTTTTGTTGTCAGTATATCGGAACAATAAAACAAGTCGTAAAACTTTATTATTTTTATCTGCTAGCTGAACTTGGCCGTTTTGACTTGACTTTAGTTGAACTATCAAAATCGGTGTATTTTAGAGAGCTTAAAAAATGGGATATTGTTGCTTTATTATTTTGATTAAATATTTTTCTTTTGTTTCTAGGTACGAGACTTGGTAGAAAAATGTACATGTCCAACGCAGTTCCCGATGATCCGTGTTTCAGAAGGAAAATATAGAATTGGAGACACCAAAGTTCTAATCTTCGTCAGAGTAAGTATTTTTAGATACTTTTTGTTGTTATTTAAATGATACTCAAATGAGAAGGTTTTTCAGCAAAATGCATATTAAAGAAAATACGTTTTCAAGTTTAAAGTCTATTGCTTTGTCAAACAACTATTATCAAATAGTATTTCGGACAATATATGGCATTGCTTTATAAATATTAAAATGTGTAAAGTACCTAGTTGTCAAGTTTTGATAATGCACTTTACATTATTCATTAGATTAGATAGGGTCAGGGTGGATTCAATAGGGTAAGGCTAGATTAAATTAGGTTCTATAATAATGAATTATGTTAGAACAGGGCCGTAGCCAGGCAGGGTGAAAGCTGAATTTTTCCACATTTATGTCTATATATTTTGAAATATTTTCGTTAATTTTGTTTGCAGTGTAAGTAAAAGTGCAATAGGGGAAGGTGCAATATTTCACGCGTCGGAGCGTGGAATGTTAGGACAATGAGGCAAGTAGGGAAATTAGAAAATTTTAAAATTGAGAGGAATAGACTAGAATTAGATACAGTAGGCATTAGTGAAGTGCGTTGTTCAGAAGCTAGAGACTTCTGGAGTGGAGACTTTAGAATAATACATACAGGATCGGTGGAAGGTAATTCGGGGGTAGGAATTGTAATCCATAGGAAAATTGTAATAGGCAGGTCTGTATGTCTAGATCATCTTACAACGATGACGACGTAGAGGCGGTTTATGCAGAGATAGAAGACGTGTTAAGTTTATTGAATTGACAGGAAAACCTAATAGTTGTAGGAGACTGCAACGCAGTAATAGGTGAAGGTAAATACGGTGCAATAACAGGTTCTTTTGGATTGGGAAATAGAAATGATAGGGGAGACAGACTGATAGAATTTTGCGATAAACATAACTTAACCGTCGCGAATACTTTATTCAACCATCACGTTAGGAGGTCATATATGTGGAAGATACCAGGTGATTTAAAGAGATATCAGTTAGATTACATACTTGTTAGCCAAAGATTTAAAAATCAAGTGAACGTCTATGGGAGTTATTCAGGATCAGATAGAGATAGCGATCATAACGTAGTAGTTACGAGGACTAATATTACTAAAAAGAAGGGAAGGTAGGAGAAACGAGGGATAGGCTAGGCGCAAGGAGAGATGAAATACTATAAGAAGCGGGAGAAACGAATTACAACGACATAGACACAGAATGGAACTGCATTAAAGTCAGTAGCTACAGATGTATTAGGTCTTAAATAAAACGAAAGTAGGAAACCCTGGATAACAAACGAGATTATAGGATTAATACAAAGCGGAAATAAAAAAATAGAACAGGCGAAGAAGGGCAAAAAAGATATAAATATAAAGTGGGAAATAATTAGGAAGTGTAGGGCAGCTAAGGAAAAGTGGATTGATAGGATGTGCAAAGAAGTAGAAGAAAAGTTTGAAGTAG